GACTTTCTGTATTTCACTTCATTCTTTAACACTTTCGGTTCCAGGTGGTCGTTTCAAAATCCTTCGACACGAGTTTGTTCCAACGTGATCGTCACGACTTCTCAGATGCGAGACCTTCCACTTACACAAGTAATGGATTTTGTTCAGAAATTGCTTCACACCACTAGCATATTGTGCTTCATCGATTTATCAAAGCATTCGAAACGTTTTATCGTATTCTATAAACGAATTAATTCTTGAACTTTAGAACTATTCTTACTATCAGCACTGGACAAATATGATAAAATTGAGTGGGAGTGCACTTGTAGAACAGCGAATTCCTTTCATAGGCTTAGGAAGACTACGTCTTGCATTGTCTCGTCCGTCAGTTGAGGACATAGAGGCGATCGAAGAGATGGAAGATCGTATAGCACTGGGTCAAGCCAGCGAACTGGCGAACACTGTCCATTTTCGATCAAGGTCGGTGATCTATGGTAATATCTGAGGAAGGCTTATATACCGTACTTATTGCAAAAGTTAAACGTTATATTAATATGTTTTTGTAGTCTGTCGATCTTTCGCAATATTAGTCTAAGCTGAGTGAGTATTTGCAGAAAGATGAGGAATGATAGAACAAAATCATTTATGTAGTTTCATATCAAGTTCATAGGAAGTGGTCAATCGATTAGTATTACGGCTGTGAACATGAAGAAGTATATGTGTGGTTCTACTTCATGGGTTATGACTTGAGAGAGTGAATTGAGTAGATTTCTTGATACTACTTGAAAAAGCAAACTGAAATAGCCATGTCCCTTCCTTGGATGTGGCTAAAGAGTCTGTTTATCTAATCCAAAGAGATACTAATCGCTTGGATAGCTGTGGCAGAGTCTGTTTGAAGTAGTCGATGTGTTCAGCGTTTGACATCGTTCAATGGCTGCCTGGTGGAGGGTTCTTTGTAGAAATTCTTTGAAAGTGTGTCCCTTTTGCTAATTCGGTAGATCTGCAATAATAAAGATAGTTCCTTATATAAAATCTACTCAGAACATACAAAGTAAAAGCCCCACTATGCTTAAGTGTTAGGCCACGCCTGACGTGGTAATAACTGAAGCGATCAATGGGTAACGTTTGAACTACATACCGGAGTAGTTTCTGTATGCGTGTCCAAGAAGTTTTCCCTCTTTGTCCACTTACGGCTGAACTCAAGCACATTGTAGTCAAATTTTATATCAACAAAAGTTAGAAAACTATAGACGAAAAAGTGAGGAGTTCATAGTAACCCTATATGGGGTAAATAGTAGTTCAAGAATTTTATTTGCAGTATCAGCTTCTTTAATCAGGTTCAGTTTTGAATATCTATCTAAGAACCATCGCAGTAACTGCTTGCGTCGTTGCAGATTATCACTGATCCCTGAACATGTGCCATCTACCGTCGAAGAATGTGACGAACCTAGTGAAGACAGTCGTGCTCTTTCACCTGACATCGAAATTATCGAAAGTCCACCGATGCGGTAAGTACCATCGTAATGGTATTGTATTGAAAATTTATTCGTTGAATGGTCTATGTACAGCAGAAGTCGGCTGCAGTCAGTGCTCGGTGGACTTCTCAGTAGAAGAAAATCGAAGGATTCTTGTAGTCCAACGTCTGTGAACTCTTAGCTGACATTATTTTCCAGTCAGCAAGAATCTGACAGCACATCAAGTTTGCCACCGTCGTTGAATACCTAGTAATTTCCTTGACTCATATGGGTTTTATCTTCTCAGAAAAAGTTCCATTCATGCTGTTGACAAAATGATGATCTCCGGCATGAGCGTTTGTATGTCTTCGGCACTCATGTGCAAAGGGCCTAAGATTTATTTTGTTTGAAAAGAATCCGTTCAGAGTATGATGGGATCTCTGTTTTTTCATCGTTTCCCTTTTTGGGTTTATAAACACTGTAGTAAATTTTTCCGTGATATTTGACCTTTTACAGATTGATTCTATCCATTCACCTCATTTCTCTTATTGTCCGACCGACAATTTGTTCCAATTGTCCTTAGCATATTCTTAAGCGGGATCAAGCGATAATCACTCCGTGCTATCAGTGCTAATATTAATTCGAGGTCATTCATGGTAGCACGTTGTTAGTTATTACATCTAAAAAGGCACTTTTTATTGGTTGTTTGTGTTAGGTGCTGTTCCCTAAACCACCATACTTGATAATGTCACAAGGTTTCTCTCTTTGATTTTATTTAGTGAATAAAACGTTGTTTTGAATCTTATTAGAATACCGTAATAGTGCGATCTTTTAAAAAGGTAGGAAAACTGTGCACATCGTTAAGTGCACATCCCTTAAGGAAAAGTGTTTCCAGTTTCATTCTACCCACCGGCTCGGTATCGTTGACCTAATGCATTGAAGAGTTTAGTTATTCTTATCGATGGTCGTAACGTGATGTTCTTTCAATGATAATGAATCATTGTCATCACTGAATATAAGGATGTCAAGTTTTTTTTTATTTTTATTCTTATTTTATTTGAACCGTTTTCACGTCTACTGTGCGGATCTTAACACTTCCCACATTCGATTTGCTTCTTCGCATCCACTGTCCACGAACATCCTCCTACTTTTACGTGTGGCGTCGGATGCTGCTTGAATATTTTCATTTCATCTTGAATGCCATAGAATTTTGGTAGAGCACTTCTCCCTGGTGTCCTTAGATAGCCGGGCTGGAGCGTTTTCAGTTGGACTGCAGAGAGTGCTTTTTTCCCGGACAAGTCCGGTACCAATTTCCCTGCCCCGGAGGAATGAGGGGCCTAATTAACCCGCAGCGGAATCGAACTAGCATTATGCTCGTGATGACGAACATCATTATCACTGCGCAATCGACTCTCTGGATGTCAAGTTATGATTTCTATTTCAAATTTGCGGTGTCTTTTGACTATGAATATTATCCTTACAAAAACACAATACAATACAACGCGCACATGAGTCGTCAACCACATGCGACTATAATCAGCTGTTCTAAACTTCCTCATTGGAAGTCACGAAAAAGCGGCTCTGAAGAAGGCGATACTGCCGAAGCGATAGGTGTTGCAAATAAACTTCTTTTCCATGCGAATGATATTTATGTATTGAAAGAATATTTTTCAAAGCGAAGGTCATCTAATCTTAGCATAAATGATCACTGTACGCCATCGCTATTCTACTGATAGGCCAACACGAGGTTGTCACCAAATATTTGCTCGGCTAACGTTTCGACACCTTCTTCATCAGAGCCGATGATCCGAGTCGATGATGGGCAGCTCCTCGTCTTTTCGATGTAGTATATTCGTCGTCGTATCGAGTCGGATCATCCTCAGGAGAGCATCTCTCGAATGAGGCATACTCACCTGGCTCAGCGGTGGTGCAGTCTTCGACCATATGGGACTCTAAGCAGTTGTTCTTCCATGGTAGAAGGCAGGTAAAAACGGTTTGTTTTTCCAGGAACCGGTGATTGTGTAATTACCGTTCAGGTTTTCATCTTTCTGTTTGTGCTGTTGAAGCGTTGGACAGTAAATTGCATATCGATATACCTTCCAGGCCCTTAAGAAGGCGATAATGCCGAAATGCCAGCTTTAGCGAAATAAAGAATAAAGTAGCACCTCGTGTTTGCTCATCGAGAATATCGGAAAAATTTAGGTTAAGATGGGATCATATGGAACCAGTGTTCGCGTCCATCAAACGATACAGGACCCATTTCTGTGCTTAGCATAGAACAGAAACAAATTCACTATTATGTGAGGCAGGCGGGACTGAGCAGTTTTTGCTAATTCAGTTGCTTTGAACGATCTCGAGCTACAGCTGACCATGAAACAACCTGTCATGGAAAAACCTCTACTTTCTTCAGTGTTTCTAGCCAACCGTAAGTCGACGTTTTCACGCCCAAACTTTGTATTATCTTATTAACGAAAAAGTATGGGAAGCTTGAGGAATGCATTCTTTCCTGCTGAAGGAAAGATACGGAATTGTTGTGAAATCATGAAAACTGTTCATCATTATATATTAGTGTAATAAAGAATAAAGAGTAAGGCTTTCTTGGTTGATATAGTTCGGCTTCATTTAGAATTGCTGAGGTGATTGAATGCATATCTCACTTGTACAATGATTTGCTGCGCCCTGCTGTTGGATAAAGTCATTGCTGGTTTCCCCTCAGGTTTGTGCGGCACCTACTTACCCATGCTAGATAAATGGAAAGCTTGGTGGGCTCCGAGCACGAGTCGAACCTAAGACCACCTATGTTTTGCCGGGCACCTCTAACCATTGCGCTACACACATAATTGGGAAGTATTAACATACATAATCGCATGATCTGTCAACACGTTTACTTTGGAGATCCCAGCACTTTCTGCGTTCAATTCGTTTTTTCGGCGTCATCGTTTACAAAGGTCTTCGAATATTTGGAGTGTGAGTTCGGCAATTGTTTGACGATCGTCGCCTTCTTTATGAATGTCGTAGAATCGTAGTCGAGTCGATTCTCAGCGGTTATTAGTGGTCGAACCACAACCTTGTTTCTTGATGGACCGCATCACGAACCACTGCGCTTGGTGGCCAGTTGCCAATACTAAATATATCAATGAGGAGAAAAGGCCGAAGAAGATCGTTAACGCAGCTACAGGCCCACGTGGACCCTATCTATTCGACGGATGACTGTTATTTAAATAATAAAGCAAATGAATTGTTACGCAAGGGCCAGCACGACGTATTTAATCTAGTTAATTAAAATTGGGTCTCGTTTGTTTATTGACAGAGAAACTATGCTGGATATTTCCCTTAATAAACAGTTTTGACACTTTTCATATGAGCGAATCGATGCATTAGGATGGCTGAGGTAATATTTTGTAGAGAGGAACATTCATATATTTATCAATGGAAGTACTGTTCTCCTTTTGCCCGAATTACTTCGGCATGAAGTAAGCGCTTCTCGTTCCTCTGAAATTCTGCTGTTATATTTTGTAGTTAATTCATTCACTGCCTTTTAAAACAAATTTTTCATCGTTATTATGCTTACCCATCGCTTCTCCCTGCACTGCCACTATTCGGTGTGAAGTATACACTCTGTGGGGCTCCTCTGCCACCACTACCATAACCACCTCTAGAAAATCAACTTCTCAAAAACCAATCGGTTTTGGCAAGTACTTCAATGTTCACAATATTTTCATTTCCAAAAGATATCCAGTAGTTTGAACCAGGAATAACAAAACTCACCCAGAGCGTCCGCCTCCGTAATAACCGCCGCCGCCACCGGTGCCCCCACCACCACCTACTCCGAAATAGGCGCTACGTGCGCCTCCATCAAATCCGCCTCCTCCAACACCAAAATAGGCACTACGTGCACCTCCATCATAACCACTACTTTTTCCAGCTGCAGAAGTTGTTAGCCTGGAAAGTCTGAACTAGTGACAGAAAACTTGTATAGATACTCTTTTATTCAACATTTCTTGTTCATAATTTCAACTCAAGGGCTTCATCTCCCTTCTTATTTCCTTGTTTAACTAAGTCTAATTCAAGCAAAGGAGAATCTATGTTAGGATGCAGATCAAATTCTATGATGAAAAAACGCCGACGAGAAACATTTTGGAATTGTGCGGTTCCTAAGCTACAGTTTCTGACGCTTTTATAAAGGACTCAATTGATGCATAGTTGTGTGGAATCAATGCTTTCCACTGCATTAGCTGACCTTGTTCACACGAGTTTTCTTACCTTCCTTAAATCGCTTAAGTGATAGGTAATTGTATTTGTATAGTTTAGTAATGAAATAGTGGTCGTTAGAGTGAAGCATTAAAGAGAACGACTACCATATCACTAGGATGATATAGAGATCATTTAGCCTTCTTTATTTAAGAAAATTGGACAGGGACTTACGGAGCTCCTATGGCAGTTTTCGGCTCATCTACGGCTCGAATAGCAGTTCTTGGTTCATCGACGGCTCGAATAGCAGTTCTCGGTTCATCGACGGCTCGAATAGCAGTTCTTGGTTCATCGACGGCTCCAATAGCAGTTCTTGGTTCATCGACGGCTCGAATAGCAGTTCTTGGTTCATCGACGGCTCGAATAGCAGTTCTTGGTTCATCGACAGCTCGAATAGCAGTTCTTGGTTCATCGACGGCTCGAATAGCAGTTCTTGGTTCATCGACAGCTCGAATAGCAGTTCTTGGTTCATCGACAGCTCGAATAGCAGTTCTTGGTTCATCGACAGCTCGAATAGCAGTTCTGGGCTCATCAACAGCTCGAATCGCAGTTCTGGGCTCATCAACAGCTCGAATGGCAGTTCTCGGTTCCACATTAATGCCGCCTCTTTAAATAACTTTCTTAACCAATTTCTTAAAATCGCCGAAGCAACTGATCTACGGTTATTTCTTGTGCAGCAAAAAAAAACATTTCTTACGATGTGGAGCTGCGTGAACCTCCTCCATAGCTTGTTCCTCCAGTCATGAAGTAGGCGCTGCGCGCTCTAAACGCAAGTTACAATATGAACATCAAGCTTGCACTTATAAAAATTAGGCTGGAGTTTTCAAATCGTGCCTTCCGAGAGTACAGCAAAGCTGCTGAAAATAAAAAAGACTTCGGCGATGAATACTATTTTGCGATGAACCAAGGCTTGATCAAGAAGATTGCTATTAAGACCATGTGATTCAAACACAGAAGATCAACTACGATTGATTGAGCAATACGTAAAGAAATCACTCTGTAAACAGTATCAATAATGCTGGAAGCAACAATGCTCCTTAGAACTTGGAAAAACATGTGCTGGCAAAGCTTTAGTTTTCGTGTATACAAGTTTACTAGTAATTCACAAAAACCTTGTTTGGAGACTAACGAACCACATAAGATGAGTGCGGCACAAAATGCAGGAGGCCACTGTCTTAAGCAGGCTTCACAACCCGAAAAACTATGACGAAGTCGAAATATAGCGTTTCATGTTCTTGGGTGGATATAAAGCTCAACAGCCAGGCTCCTACACTTTACTATATCATTATCTGTGATTTCGAATGAATAAGTCAAAACAAATGTTATGTTGCTATTATTATTATTGCTATTATTATTAAGAGTCCTTATATTATTGCAACCCCTTAATAATTACCTTACTATTATATGAGCTACTCTACGTACAGCAAAAAACGCGACAACGGTACTGGATCGACGCATTTATGAACTGTAGACGAAACAGAGGATTTGAGAAAGAATATCTAGACCATTATAAAAGCCGGTCATTGACTAGGCGAGCTTCAATATCAGGCATGTGCGCAGAATGACAAAGATTTTAATCAGATTCAAGCAATATTCAGGATGAGTCCACACCCAAAATTTACAAACATTTTCCAAGTGTGTTATTGTCTATGTCCTCCCAACGGTTTACCGCCTCATCGTAACTGCGAGGTGTTCCTGGGTGTCGGTCTGTAATGTACAGCGAGGAGATTCGTCCTCCGGCAGGGTCTCCCAAGCTGAGAAGGACTACGGCGTTTCCATCAGGAAGCCTAGCTAAGAGTAAACCAATACCAGGATCCACCACCGTCTTGGTATCAAAGTCACATGGTGATAAATCTCCCTCTGATCCACAAGGGCTGCGACTGCCTATCGTGGTGACGACCTGGGGCAGACTTTGGCCAGACTGTCTTCGGGATTCCAGGAAACCACAATGGTTTAGTCCGCAAATCTCCGAAAATGGAGAATATGCTGGGGCCCGCACTTCTAGTGAGGACGGGCCGTTCAGGTGTCAAGTATCAAGTATTCTCTATGCAGATATTCAGTCAATAAGACTGCCACCCATAATCCGTGAAATGTGTATGAATAGAGCGGGCATCAGTAATGTTGACAATATTCCCATAATCCATAAGAGGTGCTCCGCACTGTAAGAGCGCGCAGAAAAAGTCACCTTTTAGTACAACTTCATTCTTATTGTTCTGCATGACCATATTCAACACTACACTGTTTCTGTTGTATGGCAGATGGTCGGACAATACGTAGATTAAGCACATGCGTTGTGCCTGGGCCCAATAGTCCTTAAGAACAACATTAATTTAGAACAAGAGGAAACGCTTTATATGAAGCGATTATAGCAGCCGAGTTCCTTAGCACTCTTTATTTCTTCTGCGTAACCCGTCAGCGGTTGAGAAAAGTGATAATTGTTGCGAAGAGAACAACAATGTTGCAGGCATCAAATCTCGCTGTCCCGTCAGCAGAATGTGCTGCGGCTGTTGAAACGTGGAAACATTTCATCACAAGGACTATCTTTTTACTAGAAACTACCTCAATTCGTAAAACGAAAATGACAACGTAAAGAAGATGAAGTTATAAATTGGAGAAATATAGAACAGCGCCTAAATTTTGGTCCCTTAAATATCTCGTATAAAGGACGAAAGGTGAATAGTACGCCGTTTACTAGTCCTTCAAAGATATATTTATTTATGTGATCTTATAAACTGATCTTCTTAAACTGACGCGAGGTTGGTACAGATCTTCGTTGTCGTTGTCGTTGTTTTTGATGTTATTGATCGATGGCTGACGTATCGGCGACTTCGCCTTCCTCAGAGCCTGGACGTACTTTATGTTAGAATACTTTTTATTATTCGGTGGAAAAGAAGGTTAAAGTATTAATGAAGATCAAACTTTCAAATAGACGCCATATTGAACACGAAGGCCACTCACCCTGATGTTACGAGTGGGACTGGCCCACAAGTTGTTCACGTGGAGTCGCGAGAAAGACACGCCCAGGGGTCAAAATACCGTTTTGAAATAGGGCGCCAGGTCACGCGTGATAGTGAGGCATTCGTCCTTCCGGCTGGTTCATCTTTGGATTTTTGAAATTTATCCAAAACGCCCCAAGAGTTTTGCGCGTTGATGTTTTTGATTCCTGCGCTAGGATCCGCATATTCACTTCAGAATCATCGCCGTTGTGCTTTTGTGCCCTATGCGTACCTAGAGGGGTGTTTAAA